AGAAAGAGAGAGAGGGGGAAGAGAGATGGAGAGAAAGAGAGATAGAGAGAGAAAAAAAGTTTAAAATGCTGAGAGGGAAAGAGAGAGGCAGAGAGAAACCGAGGTACAGAGAGAAAAAAAAAGCGAAAACATTACGGTAATTTAGGCCACATACACACACAGCAACACACCCAGCCAGACACTTTTTGAACATCGGAGCTCTAGCTTACTCTCATTCCAATCCCTGTGACCGTGGGTTTTTTTCCCCTCGCTGCATCTGCTGCTCCCATCCGTTGCACTCTAGGCTAAAGGCGCCACGCCATGAAGCATCATGAGCAAGTGACAGCCACTGTCCCAGGTCACAGAGTCACGCTGCGAGCTAAACGAGCATGCTATGCCTGAGGCAGTGAGGATGAGTTGGGGGGAATTTTCGCCTTGATGAGAGCCTCCCCCCCCCCTCCTCCCCCTTCCCCTTTCGGGCGTTGTTGTTAAAACAATCACCAGAAAAAAATTCGATCACACGCAAAACAATCACATGAAAAACAATCACAAGCAACAATTACATGCAACACAATCATATGCAAACAACCATATAATATAAGCAACAATTACATGCAACAGAATCAAATGGAAACAATCATAAGCAACAATTACATGCAACACAATCACAAACAACAATCACATGCAAAACAACTATAAGCAACAATCACATGCAATACAATCACATGCAATACAATCACATGCAAAACAATTTCAAGCAAAACAACCATAAGCGACTATCACATGCCGTTTCGGGTGCAGGGAATCCCAGTTCCTCACTACCCCAACTTCGACAGCAAGAGAAATGCTAAGTGAAAAGACATAAACCTATAATACCATGTGACGCACATCATCTTAATGGTTTGCTTTTAATGTAGATAGGAGTTTTTACGCCCCAATAGACACAATTTAAATAGGACAGGAGGCGGTCTTCGACCCCTGCTTATTAGGGCCCATCCAGGCTGACAAGGGATACGTCCAAGTAGGAAGACTGGGATACACGTACTCGATAAAAATTCTTCCCACAAGGGAATTGAACGCAGATCTACAGCGTGTGACGGCCATGCACGTAAGCGCTAAGCCACAGACACTGTTGAACAGACTCCCTGTGACTCAAGATACAGTTAGAGCTAAGTTTTAGTTCAATATTAATAGGGGTTTTACGGTGCTCGCAACTGCATAAGGTCACATGAGCGCCAGAAGGTTGAGGTGTTAAAAACATAAAAAAGAATAAGGGGGAGAATAAGGACGATATATGTTTCAGAGGAAAGAAGAAGCACACCACACCAGGGCACCCGCCAACCACCAACCCAGTTAGTTAGAGCTGGGAGGATGTATTTCCTACTAGTTTTTGTAAGAGTTTTACGGCACTTGCAACACAATCGGGTCATATAAGCGCCGAACATAAAGAGGCGTTATTAGGGAGAAACATACAGAGAAAAGAGGGAGGAATTGGAATTTTAAAAATGACATAAAAGAGGGAGCTAACCGAAATACAAATCGGCAAGGGGAGCCGACAAGCTAGAAAAAGCACTGGGGTCTCCTGATACTTCATCGCAGAATCAGCCTGCTCTCATGTTGTTATTATTATACTTGTTTTAACCCTCTCCTCCCCCCCCCTTCCCTCCACCCCTTGCCTTCTTTCCACGTTCTGTGGAGAGTTCAGCAGCCCAAAACAAGTCACTGTGTTTTTAGCGCGGGCTGGGGGGGTTTTTACGCGCTGCGAAAACGAAAGGGGATAGTTGCATGCACGCGTTTCGCTGTGCCTATCTTTCAAATGAACTTTTAATGCTGTTTGCAGTTCCTGCCTTGGCGTTTTGCCCGTGAAAAGCGGGAAAGTGAACTTTTCGAGACAAGAGGAAGACGTCTCGAGAGGTTTATGAGACATAGACATTATCACACCTGTGGCGTCCCTTTCCATGTGTCGGTGGAAAAGGGGAGGGTGGGTGTGAAGGGTAGGGGGGGAGAGGGATGGGAGGCGAGTGCACATCAGTGTGTAAGTTTGATTTAGCGTGT